TCGATTTATGTGTGTCGTCCTTGCGCAGGGGCCATCCTTATAATCTTCTTTCTCTGTATCGTTCCAATTTGAATGGATGTCCCAGAGGACCGCTATTCTCAATTCACTTTTTTTTTCTTCAGCTATTTATATTAATAATTAAAATTCGCTCCTTCTTCTCTTTTCTTTCCGGCGAAAATTATAACCAACTACGGGAAAAGCACAAATTAATTGAAATTATGAACATACTCAGGCAAAATTATGCACACACCGCGGGCTGAGGTGGTCTAACCAAATTATTCCTATACCCTATATTACCAGATAGCTGAAATTATTCTTGTACCCAGCAGCCGTTGGGTCACAACGGTCCACTTAAACCACCAGTACCTGACCCAGCTATCGAGTCCGAGCCTCGGCGGACCGGTGCGCCGATCCGTGCCGAGGCTCGGACTACCGGGCCCAGGCATCCCGAACGTTGACGTGAAATGCACAAAAAAAACGGGAAAAAAAAAACGAAAAAAAAAAACGAAATAAGAAAAATGAACCGGATCATTCCCCGCGTCGGAAACGCAAAGCGGGAATGAATCTTCCCGCTTTGGCAGATAGATAGATAGATAGATAGATAGATAGATAGATAGATAGATAGATAGAGAGAGAGAGAGAGAGAGAGAGAGAGAGAGGGGCGGCGAGTTCGGTGGGACCCTCCATGCATGTCACCGCCCCTCCCTCCCTCTCTCTCTCTCTCTCTAGAGAGGGGCGGCGAGTTCCGCGTGACCCTCCGTGCATGTCACCGCCCCTCTCTCTCTCTCTCTCTCTCTCTCTCTCTCTCTCTCTCTCTCTCTCTCGTTTTGAAAAACGAAACGGGAATGCATCTTCCCGCTATCCACGGGAAGATGCATTCCCGTTTCGTTTTTGGAAACGAGAGAGAAAGAGAGAGGGAGGGAGGCGGCAACATGCACGGAGGGTCGCGCCGAACTCGGCGCCCCTCTCTCTCTCTCTCTCCCTCCCTCCCTCCCGTGCGACTTTCCTTCTGTGTATTTCTTTTTTTTTTCGTTTGTGTATTTCTTTTCTTTTTTTCCTTCGTTCTTTTATTGCTTTTCTGTAGTAGTGTCATCCCTACAGAACCGGGGCCCGGCCTTAGCGCTACGACCGGGCCTTCCCTTGGCCAACCCCCCTAAGGCTGCGGCAGCGCTACGACCGGGCCTTCCCTTGGCCAACCCCCCTAAGGC